CTTGTGGTTGTTTTTTTTTTTGGGGGGGGGGGAGGGTTGTTCATGATTCAGCTTTATTTTTCAAGACAGGTTCTTATTATGTAGCCCTGGCTGGCCTGGAACTCATTTCGTTGACCAGGCTGATCTTGAACTCACAGAGATCCACCTGCAACCATAAACAACCATGGCTCAACTCTAAATTGTGCCGTGTGTGTGACACCTGTGGAAACAGTCCATTTCCATCCACTATCACTGAACTAACCATAGTCCCCAGACTCCAGCAGTTAGCTCCACTTGCCTACTAATGCTCTGGGTGTCTAAGAAGCTTGGCTGCAGGTTCTGAGGAGTCATGTTCTGTGAGGACTCCCACCACGGAGTGGGGTCCCCAACCTCACTCGGCTGCCCATACCCTCAGGTTGACGGCCTTAGCGAGAACCATCCCCAACTCAGCACTGCTCCCCATCAGTCTTTGCTCACTTTATTTTTGTTTTTTGTTTTTTTTTTTATTTTACTATTTTTCATCCATGATCTCTGGACATACCAGTACAAATATAAGCTGTATGTTGCAGCCCCCAACTTCATCCAGACACGTGATCCCTCCTCCTCTGGGTTGACAGCAAGAAAAGAAAAAGGGGACACTCTAGCATGAGGAGCAGAACTGACACAGATCTACCCCTGAGTGCCCTAGTACCTGAAGTGTTCCCTGGCCCCATCAGCTAAGCGGGGCCAGCAGGTTTCCAGCCCCAGGTCCTATGCTGAGGTGGAAAATCCAGGCTCCTGGTGGCTGGGAAGTGCTCATGGTTGGATCCTCTTGCGGTATAAGTAGGCATTGCTCACTTGGTTCATGATTACCAAACTGGTGAGGACAGGGCACAGCACAGCCAGGTACCAGGCACCACCAGTGACAGCGGCAGTAAACCAGAGTGAGCACATGCCCAACAGGAGGCTGGCACTACCCAGCAGGTAGCCCACCAACCCAGAAGTGGCATGGTAGAGTTTCAGCTTTGCCAGGGGCCATCGGGGCAACAGCTTGGGGTAGAGCAGCCCCAAGCCCCCAGAGCACTGCAGACCTGCCCACAGCACCGCCAACAGCCCTGCCTGCCCATGGCGAGTGGCCAAGTGTGCTTTGCCAAGCTGCTCTTTGTGAAGGATGACAAGACCTAGACCCAGCAGAGCACACAGTAGGGCCAGCAGCTGGAGCACCCAGTGGCAGCGTGCTCGAACCTTCCGTGAGAGGGAACGCAGCAGTGAACTCTCCGGAGAGAACATGAGGAGTGCCTCAGTCATCAGGAAGGAAAACTAAGAAAACAGAGACTCGAGTGAGAGCACTGTACGCACTTTAGATAACCCGCCAAGCAGGCGCACGCGGCCCCACCCTCCTCTGTTCCCTTCCCCAGGACAAAATGCTACATTTTGTGTGACAGTGGAAGGCCCCGTGTGGGACAAAATGTCTGCCCTAAGGAGTTAGGGACAGCTGCCTCTCCAGACTTCTCCCTGGGTACTTTTCTGAAATGTCACCTCTGCTACATTGCCCAGCAGACAAGGTTTGAGACGTGGCAGTTATAAATGATTCACAAGATTTGTTTGCCTCCCATGGGGCTGGGTACAATTTCTTGGCAAGAGCTGCCCACACAGGTGCACTGTTTCAGGGGAAGTTAAATGCATCGCCATAAGTTAAGTTTTTTTGGGACAGAGCAATCTCCAAATGCAATCTCTCAGCCTCACTTTGTGCTTGGGTGGGCTTCATCCATTTGTCCTGAATACTGTTTTTCAAGCCTTGGATATATGTCAGAGCCAGTAGTTGCCAACATGCAACTCCTCTAAATTGGCACTAAATGGGTCACCCACCTATGCCCATACCCCACCCCTAAAAGCTACCCAGATCCACTACTTACAGCCAGAGACATAAGAACAGGGTGCCAGGAGAATAGACCTGGAATGAGAAAAGAGAGTCTCATGGAACTGAGGAAAAAACAAAAAAAACAGCATATCTCTCCCTACAGCTGAATGTGGACAGCCCACCCAGCACCTAAGGAGGTACCAAAATGTGAACCCCTCTTGTGCAAGCTCATCTTACCCATCCCCTATTCTCTACCTGGGACAGAGAGCATGTTCTGCCACCCTCTGGCAGCTCCTTCTTCCAGCATCTCCATGAGTCAGGAATGAAATGCCAAATTAAAGAAACAGGAACCACGCACTCTCTAAAGCTTGGCCAGGCTGGCAGAGCCCCCAGACAGATCTGCTCTCCCCAGGACGTTAATTCCAGCACAGAATACTCCTCAACCAGCCACACAAGTTAAGCCCATCACTTCCTATTGCCCCTATTCCCCAAGAAAAGTGGCTTTTGGCTTCCCATAAGTCAACTATGAATTCTACTTACTGGAGCCAGGTCTGGCGAGAACAGCCACAAAGATGGTAAAGCCCAAGGCCACAAGGTGGGCTGCAGCCCCAGAAGCAGTGCGCAGAGCTCGGTAGATGTGCGACTCCGTCTCCACAGAAAGGGCCATGGTCAGCCCAGCTGATAGCTGTACAGCCTGAAAGCATCGTAGGCGTTGGCAAGGATGCCCACTGTCCACGCCTCTCACCGGGGACACTAATTCAGGGCGGGAATGCCACCTTTTCCCGGATAAGTAATGACAGGAGCAGAACAAAGCAGGCACCAAGAATAGTCCCAGCTTAACAGAGTCTACCCGTCAAACACCTTTATTTGAAGTGGTACTGATCGCACTTTCCAGGTGGGATGCGTAAGGACACGTACGACTACAAATCCCAGAATACAGCACGTCATCACTAGCCAGAACGGAAGGCGTGGAGCACTACGGGAATTGTAGTTCCCAGCTACTTTCTAGCTAAGCGTGACTCTCTTTGCTCACTGCCGCCCCACGTGCACCTAGAACGCTGTACTCCCACGGTAGGAATTTGCCTTCCTCACCTGCTTCTCAGGTTCGACGTAGTGACTTCCTCCAAAATAAACTGGACCCCCGGGCCCGCCGGCCGCGCCACCGCTCCGTTACGGAGGCGCTTCACTTCCGGGTGCGTTGTCTACCCACCCCAAACTTCCTGGGACAAGCCCCCTCCCATCCCGTGCAGCGCCAGCCACGCCTCTGAGTCGCGCTGCGCAGGCGCTGTTGAGTTGACGGCTCTTGTGGTTCGCGTTCACGAACCTGTGTGACCTACCTCAGGCTTCTTTCTCTTTCTGACAGGTGTTCCCGGCGGTGGAGGCGACCACCGCACGAAAGACAAGCGATCACAGACTCGGGACCGGTTAGCGCCATGGGCAGCAGCTGCCGCATCGAATGCATATTCTTCAGCGAATTCCACCCAACGCTGGGACCCAAAATTACCTATCAGGTGCCTTCCACACTCCCGGAACTGGACGAGGAGAGGGATGCTCTCCGGAGCTCAGCTGCCTGCCTGGAGGGGTTGCGGGTCCCTGTGCTGCATCCAGGCATGTCATTCCATTCACAGATAACCTTGAATGGAGGAGAGGATACAGAGACCCGGGTCCCTGGTTCCTAGCGTGGGGGATGGAGATTTGCCACACTGGCAGTTTTTGTGGCAAATCAGGCTATGGGATTCAGGGAGGTGACAGGTCTCGTGGAGGTTTAGATGACCCAATAGAATCACTGGATTGAGACACAAATGATTCATAAAAGTTAGGTGAGAGTAGAAAGAGTATTCCAAGCAGTGAGAATAATGAATGCAAACGCCAGGAAGCCTTCTAAAACATAGTATGTGTGGAAACACAAAGGAGTAGTGCACTGGGTGGATGAGGAAAAGCAAACAGTGGAGGACTTGTGCCTGGGGTGGGATATATAACCACCCAGTCCCAACGCCACTGAAGGAAGGTCTCTGATCACTGCCCTCCCCAGGTCCCTGAGGATTTCATCTCCCGAGAGCTGTTTGACACTGTCCAAGTGTACATCATCACCAAGCCTGAGTTACAGAACAAGCTTATCACTGTGTGAGGTCTAGTTGGGTGGGAGCAAAGGGTCCCAGACAGTTTGGGGGGGGGGGCTGACTCTCTGCTCTACCCATCCAGCACAGCCATGGAGAAGAAGCTGATTGGCTGCCCCGTGTGCATTGAACACAAGAAGTACAGCCGCAATGCCCTCCTCTTCAACTTGGGCTTTGTGTGTGATGCTCAGGCCAAGACTTGTGCCCTTGAACCCATCGTTAAAAAGCTGGCCGGCTACTTGACCACACTAGAGGTCTGCAACAAGATGGGCGTGGGTACATGGCAGGCACAGTTGGGGAAACTGCTCCTTCCTATGTCTCCAATCCCCAACCTGGAACAAGCAGCCAGCCGGGAGCTCTGAGGTATACTCAACCGTATTGTCCATGTTCTGTCCAGCTTGAAAGCAGCTTTGTGTCCACAGAGGAGAGCAAGCAGAAGTTGGTGCCCATCATGACCATCTTACTGGAAGAGCTAAATGCCTCTGGACGGTGCACTCTTCCCATCGGTATGGGCAGCCTCTCCCAAGACAGTATATGCATAGAGGAAGGACAGGACAGTATAGGCATGAGCGCAGCCACTGCAGGAGGACAAGATTCTGGTGCAGACGGGTGGACAAGAAATAGCCATGGTTTGGAGCAATGATGTCTGAGGGTTCCTTATATAATGGGGGTGGAGGAGCCGCCAGCAGAACTCAGCACTACTCCTTGGCTACATTCTACCCCCTCTCTGGGCCTTGGTTTCTTGCTCCATAAAAGAGGACAAATGATCCTTCCAGGATCCACCTGCCTGGCTCAGTTAGCTTTAGGAGAGTTAGGTCGTAATTGAGGCCCCTTGGGAAAGATGACACTGATAATATGGGTGGGGTCCCCTGCAGATGAATCCAACACCATCCACTTGAAGGTGATTGAGCAGCGGCCTGACCCTCCTGTGGCTCAGGAATATGACGTGCCTGTCTTTACCAAGGACAAGGAGGATTTCTTCAACTCTCAGTGGGACCTTACCACACAGCAGGTATGCTAGCCCTCTCTTCATTAACTATTATCACCTTGGGCTGCCCACACCTTAGCTTCACCCCACCCTTGCTGACCCTGCCTTGCTCTTTACAGATCCTCCCCTATATTGATGGATTCCGCCATGTCCAGAAGATCTCTGCTGAGGCAGACGTGGAGCTCAACCTGGTGCGCATTGCCATTCAGAACCTGCTGTGAGTGAAGATCCAGTGTGCCCATTAGAGGGCCATCAGTCAGAGGGGCGGCAGAGGACCCTGGGTATGGGTTGGGAAGGCATGGTGTTTGAGAGCTAAGCACATATCTTTCCCCCAGGTACTACGGTGTTGTGACACTGGTATCCATCCTCCAGGTAGGTGAGTCTGGGATACAGTTAAGTAAAATGTGAACCATATGGCTGGTTCAAGCCAGAACCCCACACACAGTGTCGGCCTCTTGTGCCTGCTGTGTTCTAGTACTCCAATGTGTACTGCCCAACGCCAAAAGTCCAGGACCTGGTAGATGACAAGTCCCTGCAGGAGGCATGTCTGTCCTACGTCACCAAGCAAGGTAGTGGCAAACCCCATGGGAGACTGATTTGGGGAGGACAAGGCCACCTGGGAAGCTGACCCTGGCACCCACAGGACACAAAAGGGCCAGTCTCCGAGATGTCTTCCAGCTGTATTGCAGCCTGAGCCCTGGCACCACTGTGCGGGACCTCATCGGACGCCACCCCCAGCAGTTACAACATGTTGATGAAAGGTCAGAGGGGCACTCTCAGGCTTGCACGATGGGTTAAAGTGTCTTGGATCTCTTGAGGAGCATTGAGGCAAATAAGAAGCAGGGGATTCCCAATATAAGTATGAGTATAAGTGTGTGGCCTACTAGTCCAGGTGGGTTTCCTGGGCATGGTGAGCTTGGAGGGCACGCTAGCCCATAAGGCACTGAAGGAAAGGCTTAGCCAGGCTTGGCTAGGGTACCAACTCTCTTCCCCAACCATCACTTCAGGAAGCTAATCCAGTTTGGGCTGATGAAGAACCTCATCCGGAGACTACAGAAGTATCCAGTCCGAGTGTCTCGGGAGGAACGGAGCCACCCTGCCCGGCTTTACACGGGCTGCCACAGCTATGATGAGATCTGCTGCAAGACAGGTGCAGGCAGGCAGGACAGGCTGGGGGAGGTGAGGGCTGACCGGCCAAGGCTACTGACCTCGCCTCCCTTACCCCACCAGGCATGAGCTACCATGAACTGGATGAGCGACTAGAAAATGACCCCAACATCATCATTTGCTGGAAGTGAGTCTGGCTGGCTGGAACATATCACTATGGTTACTTACCCCTACTAAGCCCTCATTAGCCCATGGGGTCTAGACAAGTAGGCTAGTACATATGGCCTGGAGTGATCCTTGGTTTTGTAAATAAAGTCATCTGTTTCATCCTGTGGAAAATTGAGTACTGCCTCAGCCAACCAAAGAGCAGCGAGTGTGCCAGCCATGACAACTAGCCTGGCCTGGCTGAAGTGCCATCTAGTGGGCAGAAATGACAATGGACAAGTAAACAAGGTTTTGTTTGGCTTGGTCTGGTTTGGTTTTTGTTTTATGGGGAGGGGTGGTGATTTTTTTTTTTTTTTTTTTTTTTTTTTTTGAGACAGGATCTCACTATGTAGCCCAAGCTGTCCTGGGATTCACTATGCAGCCCAGGCTGGCCTTCAACTCACAGAGATCTGACTGCCTCTGCCTACTAAGTGCTGGACTAAAGGTGTGCACCACTATACCTGAGCATATCTAGGTTTTCAATGAGTTTGCTGTTTTATTTTTGTTTTTTGAGACAGAGTCTTTTATATAGCACTGACTAGCCTGGAACTTTCTGTGTAACAGTTGCCCTTGAACTTGTGATTCTCCTGCCTCTGTCTCCTGTGTATTAGGGTTATAGATTTACTCTCCCACCCCTTTGTGTACAGGGCTGGGGACTGAAGCCAAGGCTCTGTGCACACTAGGCAAGTACTCAGCTATGACCACAGCTCTGGATCTGTAAACTGAAAGAACTAGAGTCAGATAGGAGGAAGAAATGCTCCAGATTACATTGCCAAGAAAGACCTCACTTGGGAGACCTGAGCTAAACCTTGCAAGGACTAAAAAGAGTATTCCAGAAGAAATAAGTTCGAGGGGTTGGGGATTTAGCTCAATGGTAGAGCACTTGCCTAGCAAGTGCAAGGCCCTGGGTTCAGTCCTCAGCTCTGAGAAAAAAAGGAAAGAAAGAAAGAAAGAAAGAAAGAAAGAAAGAAAGAAAGAAAGAGAGAAAGAAAGACAAAATAATAAGAAATAAGTTCAAAACCCTAAAGCAAGGCCAAATGTGGTCATGCGTTCTTGTAATGCCAACACTCGGGAGGCTAACATAGGAGAACTGCTTCAAGTTCAAGGACAGCTTGGACTATATGTGTTTAAAGCCAGCCTGGGTGACACAGTGATGCCTGTCTCAAAAAGCCACAGGAGTGTATGAGGAACTCAGAGGAAGCCATGAGCTTGGAAACAAGCATGGTGTTGCATGCCTGAAACCCCAACACTTGGGAAGCTGACAAAGAAGGAAAATTTGGACCAGTCCTGGCTCTATAGTGAACTCCAGGTTGGTCTTGGCTATATAATGAGACCCTGTCTCAAAGAAAGAGGAGGGTGTGCTGGAAAGATGGCTCAACAGTTAAGAACACTGCTCTTACAGAAGACTGGAGTTTAGTTCCCAGCACCCACATGGGACAGCTCACAATTGCCTATGACTCCAGCCCCAACGGATTCAATGTCTCTGTTTTCCATGTGTAAGCATTCCAGCTTGGACAGAAAGGCGTCCTGGCAGCCGAGAGCCAAGGACTACCACAAAGTCCCACTGCCCAACAAACCTCACACAAGAGATTTACTGGGAGGGAAAAAACCAGGCTGCCTCTGCTGGAACAAGAAGCAGCAGCAAACTGAGCAGGATACAAAACTTATATAGAGCTTCTTGGGAAGGGGGTGGGGCTTTCCAGGGTGGAGATTGGTGGGATTTCAGGTCCAGAGACCGGGCTTTTTACTCTGTAGGGTGGGGGCAGGGTCCAGCAGTTAGGGCAATTAGAGTATTGTGTGGGTGGAACCTGGCAGTTAGAGGTCCCCGGGGGAGGTGCCTGGCCACTCGTGTGGCACGAGGGACTTCCACTATGGGTACCTGCACACATGTGCACAGACACAAGCATTATTTTAAAATAAACTTAAGAGTGGGATGAAACAAAAATTGAAGCACGGAGGTAGGAGAAGGGGTGCTTCCGAGAAGCTGCCAAGTGCTGTGGTCTAGTATTTAGGGTGCGTGCAGGGGCGGGGTAGGCACAGGGAGAAGGTTAGGTGGACCTCTTTAGGACTCCTGGCTGCTGGGCTGAGCATGGGGACACAAGTCTTTAATTTTAGCACTAAAGAGACAGAGCAGGGGCCAGTGGATCTATCTCTATGACTTGGAGGCCAGGGAGTACCAGGCCAGCCTGGATCACAAAGACAGATCCTGACTACAAAAAAAATAAAAACAACATAAAAGCCTCGAGTGGAGTCCAGAGTGCAGTTACGTCGGTCTCGTGAGAGGCCGCTGTGGTGAGAGGCTAAGACGGAGTGGCTGTAGGAGGTGCTCCGGCCCTGAGGAGGTGTGGCGAGGGTGCCTGGAGTCTAGAGCCGCTTATTGGCAGTGAGGTGGGCGTGACAAGAACAACTCTACGCAGGCGCCAAGCTCACTCGTTTCCATGGCGACAGGGACCCACGCGCGGGCTTCAACGGCTTAGCAACTGTCCTGTCCCAGACTTTGGTCCCGCCACTGGAGTCTGTTAGTTTCTCCAATTCCGACTGCTGCCCCAAGCCAAAGGAATCCTGTCCCCACCACCAACCATCACCTCCCAACCCTCGGCATGGGCGACCTGGAGCTGCTGCTGCCTGGGGAGGCTGAAGTGCTGGTGCGAGGCCTGTGCAGCTTCCCGCTACCGGAGATGGGATCTGAAGGGTGAGGCAGCTGCAACCAACCGGTGGGGTCACCCGGTCCTTTAGTGGAGGAGCTTGGAACTGACATTGGAGAAGGGGTGTGGAGGGGCCTGCAGATGGGAGGCAAGGCTCTTTGAGATGGAAGCGTTCGGCTTCGGACGCCCCTCTGGCCTCGGGGTAGGGATCCCATAGGCTTCAGGAGACCCAGACCCCGCCCTCACTCCCGCTGCACATGTGTACACCCAATATACACACAACCCTTCGGGAGCAGGTGGAGTAAGCAGCATGAGAGCCTGGAGAAGCTGAACATGCAAGCCATCCTTGACGCCACTGTCAGCCAGGGTGAGCCCATCCAGGAGCTGCTGGTCACCCACGGGAAGGTACGTCAAGGCCACAGGATTCCTGCCTTCCTACTCGACTCTTTGAGGACACTGGGCACCTGTTCCTTCTGGCCTAGTATGCCTGCCATTCCTAAGTGAGAAAGAAGGATTGTTGGTTTTGTTATCTCCCAACCTTCCTATTTGACTGCCACGTGCCAGGATTGCAGGCATGCATCACTATGCCTGGCTACATTTCCTACTGCACACTAGGTGGATATAAGGGTTAATCAGGGTGACAGTCACGGGTCCTAGCTAGCCTAGGCTGTCGAGGGAGCACCCGTGGACAGTGAGACCAGAGGAGATTCCTTACTAAAAGGGAAGTGGGGGACTTTCACAATGGGAAAAGCAGCCTTTCTGACATAAAAGGAAAAAGTAGAAACCAGGAAGCTGCCTGCTGGAGGAGGGGCCAGGGGTGGCGCTAGTGTGTGGAAACTGGGTTCCTCTGCAAGAAAAAGGCAGAACTGGGCACTAGGGGATAGTCTAGGAATAGGGCATGGTAAAGGCCTAAGAGTGAGTCCATGGCACACAAGCACCTTGGCGGGCCAGGGGACAAAGACCAAAGTAAGGACATCAAGAGGGGGGCCGGAGAAATGGCTCAGCAGTTAAGAGCACTGGCTGTTCTTCCAGAGGACCCAGGTTCAATTCCCAGCACCCACATGACAGTTTACACCTGTCTGTAACCCTGCGATCTGACACTCTCACACAGACATACATGTGGGCAAAATACCAATGCAAATGAAATAATTATTTTTTAAAAGGGCTGCTACAATTAGGAAGACTAATTAAAAGAAAAAACACAAACAAAAAAAAAAGAAAAAAACAAACAAACAGGACTTGAAGAGGAAGGCTGGCCTAAAAGGGTTGCCCAGATAGAGTGGGTGGGATAAGGTGCGAAAGGAAACCTGACCAATATCCCTTCAGAGAGAGAGATGGAAGCAACAGGAAGTATAGGCCTACCTCAGGTACAGCAGGGACTTTGAGGGTACTTATGGAACCTGGGGGAGTCTAAGGGCCCAAGAGATTTGGAGAGCTAAACTGGGCTACAGCAGGGCCAGGAGAGCTGTGAGGCCAAGATGGGTCCATTTCATCTCTGTTCTTCCCCTGCCCTTTGCAGATCCCAACACTGGTGGAAGAGCTGATTGCAGTGGAGATGTGGAAACAGAAGGTGTTCCCAGTGCTGTGCAGGCTAGAGGACTTCAAGCCCCATAACACCTTCCCCATATACATGGTGGTGAGCTGACTTCAAGCCCCGTAAGACCTTCCCCATATACATGGTGGTGAGCTGCGCATTCAGAGGGTCCCGAACCATGACAGCTCACAGTCCCTGTGCCTCCTTCACATCCCGGACCCGTTCTCTTTGACAGGTACACCATGAGGCTTCCATCATCAATCTTCTAGAGACAGTGTTCTTCCACAAGGTGAGGCTCTACCCCTGCCAAGACACCACTTCTACAGGCCAGAGCCTGGTGGGGTCTATCTGTGGGGGAGGGCATCAACTATCAATACCGAAAACTGAAATATCCCCTTCCTGAACGCCCAGGAGGTGTGTGAGTCAGCAGATGACAAGGTCTTGGACCTAGTGGACTATTGCCACCGCAAGCTGATACTGCTGGTGGCCCGGACTGGCTGTGGTGACCCATATGAGGAAGAACGGTCCCAGGACAGTACCCCTATGCAAGTAAGTTAAGGTTTCCTGGAGTTGGTAAAACCTCAAAGGGAGTCCTCGCAGGCCTCCACAGGCAGGGGCGGATACTGTGTGCCTGTGCCCCCACCACAGGAGCTGCAGAAACAGGCTGAGATGATGGAATTTGAGATCTCACTGAAGGCCCTCTCGGTACTTCGCTACATCACAGACTGCGTGGATAGGTGGGCCACCCACCAGGGCCTGGGGCAAACAATAAAGGGCTGCCCCACTTGGCCTGTAGCTTCTGCTGACCCTACCCCTTCTCCCGCCTCCCTCTAGCCTCTCCCCGAGTACCTTGAACCGCATGCTCAGAACTCACAACTTGCCCTGCCTCCTGGTGGAGCTGCTGGAGCACAGTCCCTGGTGCCGGCGGGAAGGAGGTAAGGCCTTCCCCCACCTGCCTAAGACCTAACTGGCTGCTTCCAGAACATCCTTCAGGGTTAATGGAAGTGGACAGCCGCACAGTGCGAACATTGAGGATACCAAGGTGGTCTGGATTTTTGACTCTGAAGCAGACAAGTCCCGTGGACTCACCTTGTTTGACAAGTCTGGCCGCCCAGGCTTCCTGTTCTCAACCCTCCAATCCACACACTCAAAGAGAATGCAATGCCTGCGTCCAGTGAGCTGGTTCTCCTGCCTTCTCCCCCACCCCACCCCCAGGCAAACTGCAGCAATTTGAGAATGGCCGCTGGCAGACAGTGCCCCCCTCAGAGCAGCAAAGGCTAAATAAGCTGGATGGGCAAGTGTGGATCACCCTGTATAACCTACTGCTCAGCCCTGAGGCCCAAGCCCGATACTGCCTTACAAGCTTTGTTAAGGGACAGCTTCTTAAGGTGAGGAGCTCAATGGCTCTACCCATCCCCCACTGCCACCACCACTACCCTGCCTCACCCCCATTGTATCCCTGCCTGTCCCTGTCCTCTTTCCACAACTTGGACTTCTTGTGACATGGGAACTGGTGAGACATAAACCTTCCAAGTACACCCAACCCAACTTGGGGACTCCCTGTCTCTTGACCCTCTGGCCAGGACTTGTTTCCCAATGGCCTTCCCCGGATGCCTTGCAGCTTCAGGCCTTCCTCACGGATACACTTCTTGACCAGCTGCCCAACCTTGCGGACCTGAAGGGTTTCCTGGCCCACCTGGCCCTGGCTGAAACCCAGCCCCCTAAGAAGGACCTGGTGTTGGAACAGGTAGGCACCTCGAAGGTTAGTTGCTCGGGACCATGATCCGCTTTGCCAGTTCCTTCCTCTCCTCTCTATTACATTCTCTTAGATCCCGGAAATCTGGAATCAGCTAGAGCGAGAGAACAAAGGCAAATGGCAGGCTATTGCCAAGCACCAGCTGCAGCATGTATTCAGCCCCTCAGAGAAGGACCTTCGCCGGCAGGCCCAGAGGTAAGGTGTGCTGCGTGGCTCAAGACGGGTGCATAGGACATAGAAGGCATGGCCATGGCGGGAGGGAGTGCGTCTGTGCCCCTACCTGTCATAGTCAGATCTTCTTGGCCCCTCCCCCAGGTGGGCTGAAACCTACAGGCTGGATGTCCTAGAGGCAATAGCTCCAGAGAGACCCCACTGTGCTTACTGCCAAGCAGAGGCCTCCAAGCGCTGCTCCAGATGCCAGAGTGTGTGGTATTGCTGCAGGTAAGGGACCCCCGAACCTTAATCCCCCTAAGTTCCAACCCTGAGTCCTCCCACAAGCACTGTCATCCTCACGCTGCCCACACCCCTGCAGGGATTGCCAAGTCAAGCACTGGGAGAAGCACGGAAAGACATGTGTTCTAGCAGCCCAAGGTGACAGAGCCAAGTGAAGGCTGCAGCTTCTGACGGCCAGAATGTGACTCTGAGACTCGGTAGTTCTGCCTGGCTCCTGTCAGACCTCAATTTCTCTGGTGGTGAGCACAGCTGAGCCAAGTAGCGCTGCAAACCACCACCACCCGACAAACACACAAGCAAAGGCTCTTCGCTTCCTGCCCCACCCCACGAATATGTAAAGAAGAGAACCAGGCCTCAGCATCAGCAAACTGGCAGACAGGGTTGGGGGACGTACGAAAGGGCCGGATGTGCAGACCCTTTTCCTTTATCACAGTAAAGGGGACACGAAACTCATCAGTGTGGAGCTTTGCAGTCGTCGTTGGGGGCTGGGGAGGGGAGCTGGGGCAAGGACTGAAGGAAAGCCTGGGAAGGGGCTCTTGGAAAGCCCCCGCCCCTGTGCCCCGCCCCGCCCACAAGTGCACACTGTGGCCTCTCCTCGGTTTCCATTGCGTTCTCCTCCTCTCTTTCCCGCCGCCCTGCCTTGATCCTGGGGGCGGGGCTGAAGTGGCGGGCCCCCCCCCCGGCCCCCCCCCCCCAGCCCCGCACGGGGGATTCTAGGCAGGAATTCTACCACTGAGCTTCATGAGCCAGAGCTCATTGAGCTACGGGAGCTGGCACCGTCTGGGCGCATCGGCCCCGGCCGGACCCGGCTGGAGCGTGCCAACGCTCTGCGCATCGCGCCGTGCACAGCACGCAATCCCTCGCAGCAGCACGTCCCGGGGCGCGGCCACCGCTTCCAGCCTGCGGGTCCCGCCACGCACACGTGGTGCGACCTCTGTGGAGACTTCATCTGGGGCGTCGTGCGCAAGGGCCTACAGTGCGCGCGTGAGTAGCAGCCCCACACAGCCGGCGATCACGGAACGGGAGGTCAAAGGCAGGAGCACCATGGCTGCGGGTCAAGTGGCAGCGGAGGGGGTCAGCAGCGATGATCCTGCAGACCAGGTCCCGTTACCTTGCCCCATCAGGGAGCGTGTTTGAGAAAGTGGTTTATCACGGTGTCACACTTCGTCCGTGCCTGGCGCACAGGTGGGCACAGGCAGATGTCTGTAAATAACAAGGTGCTGGTTCCAAGCTCTTTAAAGCGCCAGAACCCTTGAAAAGTCTTTGTGCCTACTGTGCCCTGTGCCTATATTCCCAGGTCCTCCTCTTCCAAAGGATTGGCACTGTGTTCCCCTCCAGATTCTTGGGTGACTTCACCCACATATGACAGGGGGCCAGAAAAAGTTACCTTGGTTGGGCTCCTTGTAAGTAGGAACCTTGTTGAGTCTTTTAGTCGAGGTTTGAGTCAGTGATCCAGAGGCTAAAACATGAACACAACCACACGCATAGTGGTCCTTCTGACCTGGGGATTAGCCGCAAACGGAAGTTAGACTCACCCGGGATACTTTATACCCTCCCATCGCCTTATGTCTAGACCTCTCAGGCTTCTTGAGTCCATTATTGAAAGTGGACCTTAGGTATCGAGGGCTTTGTTGTCGTTCCCTTTTGTTGTTGTTGTTTTGAGACAGGGTCTCACTATGCAGCCCTGGCTGGCCTGCAACTCTCTATTCAGACCAGGGTGAAACAGAGGTCCACCTGCCTCTGCTTCCCAAATTCCCATGTGTAGATGGAGCTGAGAATCAGCGCTTCGAGCCATATGGGAACTTAAGGGTGGGCTGTAGGCCTGTGCATGCCTAGAGCTCATTCATTCACTACCCGAGTATGTCACAGGTTCAGCTAGTGAAGAACAGTCATTTGTGACAGAATACCACATAGAAGCCTGGGCTGTGATACTGCAACATTTTCAGATAGAAACAAAGTTGCTCTGGAGGTGAGAAACCAGACAGTTTGGATGTCTGACAAGAGGTTGGTAAGGGAATCAAGAATGTGTAGGGTTTTGCTTCAAATAACTAGATGGACAGTGGTAACTTTTGCTGAGATAGGAACCCAGGGGTGAGTGGCAGTGGAAGAAAAGTGAAATTTTGGTGATGTACGTTTGAAATCTTTATTAGGCATTAAAGTGAAGGCACTACATGTAGGATTTGTCCTAAAGAGGCAAATCAGGTCCGCCTTGGATCTGGATCAGGTGAGTGTAGACAGAGCTGGGACAGTATCCAGATGAGGAACCTGGACATCAATTATTAGACCTGGGAGTCGGAACTGATGAAGGGGCTAGCAAGGAGCTACAGAGAAGCGACAAGAAACAGCTAGTGAGTGCTGTCCCTGGGAGTCAAAGGGAGCAAGCAACACAGATTTAGGACGGAACGACCCTGCTAACGTATACAGAGGGCAAAACATTAGATGTGTGCTTTGGGGATTGGCACACATCTGTAATCTTGGCACTTGGAGCAGTTGGAGGCAGGAGGATCTCCCGACTTCAAGGTTACCATTTGAGGTTAACCTGAACTACATGAGACCCTTTCTCAGAAAACAAAATAGGCTTGTGTAAACAAGTGAAGAGGCAGATGACAAATAGAGGAAGTCGTAAATTAAACACTTTTGTTTTCAAGTTAATGGCAAAGTGAAGTAGTAGCTCTGCGGTAGATAGGCAAACACAAGTGTTGAGCAGGGTAACAGCCTGAGGCCTTCCAGGCAGTTTCCAAACGTGCTTCCAGCATCTGTGTAGCAGTGGGCGGCAACCGCGTTTGAGAAAAAGCCAGTGGAGCCCAAATCTGTCGGGCAGAGGCTCCCTCAGTCTGTGGGTCACTTGGCCAAGCTCCTCCGCCTCACCGTCAGCCCTTTCTGCAGACTGCAAGTTCACCT